AATTCTAGGTACTAAAATTTTAAAAATACAATGAATCCACAAAATGAAGAGGATGTTATTGAACAAACTGGACTTGGTATGTATATTATCCAATTATTCTGATATTATTTTTATACACATAATATAATTAATTATTAGTTTTAATAGAATAATTAGTTATTATTTAGTTTTACATAAAAGCATCTTACAATCCTTTAATCTTAATGTATGATTGTGTCTCTGAGTCATTATTTAATGTAAGTAATGTATGACAAGATGAAGCTTATTGTAGGATGCTAATGTAAAAATAAATCATTTTGTAAATATTAGTGAATTTGTTAAATAGTAACAATCAAAAATTTCTTGATAGAATTACACATGCCATGCTGTAATTAGTGTTAAGCATTTATTTTCCAATGAAGTTGTTTATTATTTTGATGGATATTATTTAAAGCTTACAAAAACATCAGAATATTAAAAAATTTTTACTAGTTCAGCATCAAACATTATGAACATGAACAAGATACATAAATTTTATTTTACGTATTTATATAAATTTATTTTATACGTATTATTTCAAATTATAATAATCTTTTTTCTCAATAAATATGGCATAGTATAACATTATTTTAATAATTTTGTTTTTTACAGAAAACTATAGATATCAATGGACTAGTCAAACCACAAAACTTTTGATAGAAGAAGTAAGAAATCATATCCCAGCAAACCAATATGTAACTGTTACATAACCTAGGAAGCACATAAAAAGAACAATGTTATGTTTCACGATTATATAGACGAGATGTAAGTGTTATATAACCTTGAAAGCACTTTAGAACATAGTTATATTTCTTCGTTACGTATATAACTCAAGATAGTTCTTTAAAAAGGTAATATAACACACACATAACTCGTGATACATAACATAAATATAACAACTGTAATCGTTTAGCAATATAACAAATGTTATATTACTAATACATATAGAATATATTATTACAGATATTCATTTATTATAATATATTTGCGATGTAACTTTAGTAACACACAAGTTATTTTTTTCTCCTTATAAATTGGGATTATAGTTCATGCACTTACCGCTATGTGGCACGTTATTTACTATCTATACCCGTATTCAAGTTTCTATCAAGCGTATATAAAGCCTGCGAAATGCGGCTAATAAAACATTGTAATAATTATTTCTATTAGTTTAATTTCTGATACGATTCCCATACAGGAGAATTCAGATATTGGATCGATTTTTGGAAAATTACGAAAACAATAGAACTCCGCCATGCAGTAACTTAATGCCATCTATGAAAATCGGGCACGAACTTATGCAATCATCCAATATATTTTATTTGTAGACTTTAATATGTATTATTATAGTATTATATTCAAACATAGAAATTTATTGATATGAATGTGATATTATTAATAAGGAGAATTATTTTCCAATAATTCTAAACCAAATGTTTGTATCAATAGCTCAAAAGTATTTCTTTCAATACGGAAATGTGATTTGGAATCTTTAATAAAATAATATAACAATATTATTATAAATGTTATGAAAAAAATAAATAATATATAGATACAGCTTTATCATTACCTGTTAAAGAATAATAAAGAATAACATTCTCAAAATAATTATTGATTTTGAGATGTGGTTCTCTGAGATGTGCTATTTCTAAGTCATCATTTTCTTCATCATTATTTAAAAAAATATCCTATAATACAAATATATCTATTTTGTATTCTCTGCAAATAAGATATATAGTGTCGTAACCCGACCGATTTCCTAATATTAAAAGATAAAACAAGTAAAATAAAGTAGAACAGAATAGATTGAGAAAGAGCTAATTAAAGCAAAGCATTAAAATAGTAGAAAAGAGATCAAGGAAAGATAATTAAGAAAGAGTAAATAAGTCGACATCGAAGAGGACGCGGATTTTTACCATTAAAAGAGGCTCGCGGAATGATTCCGGAATTCGACGGATCGCCAAATAAATTGCAAGAATTTTTGAGCGCGACTACATATGCAGTAGAACATATTGACCCATTAGACGAAGTAATGCTATTAGGAGCAGTATTATGCACGAAATTAAAAGGCAGAGCGATGCTAGACTTTCAAACGCGTAAAATTCGAGATTTCGCACAGTTGAAACGAGAATTAGAGGTCTGTTACGCAAGTAAAAAGAGTACGACCCCTTTACAAATTGAATTTAACACGCTAAAACAGAAAAACGGAGAAAGCGCGCGAACTTACGGACTAAGAGCCGACAAACTAGCCATGGAGCTATACGAATCGATGATAGAAGGACGTCATCATACAGTAGATAATAAACGCGCAATCATGGAAACAATACAGCAATAAGCCTTAGAAAATTTCCAAATAGGCTTGCAAGACGAAATTAAAACAATTGTTCGATTGCGAGGATATGCTACGTTGCAAGAAGCAATAGCAGCGGGCAGCGCGAAAGAAAAGGTTAAAGGACCGTCCGCGACCGGCACGCAAAGCAAAATTAATTTTACACCGACCTATAAACAGGAAAATCAAACGAGTGTGAAATGTCAATAATGCGGAAAACCCGGGCATTACGGTCGAGATTGTCGAACTAGCCGATACGCGAATCGATTTTCATTGCCGAAACCCGATAGACAACCCCACGTAAATACAATAAATAAATATTGCAATTATTGCCAAAAATCCGGACATGATCGCGAAGAATGTTGGTTATTACACGGGCGACCTAATAGAGATCAACCGAGCCGAACCAAACAATATAATTCGCGACCTGAAAATAAAAATCGTAAGAGCAACGAGTAAAGAAAAAAGAAATTTAACTCCGCGCACAGCAGTGACGAGGAAGACAAGGAAGAAACGAAGCAACGACGACCCGCAATCGAATATTGCGTTACACACGTGAAGCGTGCCCCGCGAACGCATACAGGACTAGACTTAGTCGCCTTACCTATGCGAGAATCGAAAAGAGGAAAAATAAATTTATTGTTCGACACGGGAGCCGCTATATCACTAATTAAAGTAAAGCATTTAAAAGACGAAACGCTAATAACAGAAGATAAAATAGCGCTTACAGGAGTAACAGGACATAAAGTATATAGGAAGAATCAACGCCACAATAAATTTAAACGACGGTAGAATGAAACATAAAATGTACGTCGTAAAAGATGATTTTCCGATCGAATACGACGGAATATTAGGAATAAACTTCCTGAAGAAACAAGGAGCTAGTTGCAATTACTCGAAGAAACAATTGAGAATCGGACGGAATACTTTGAAATTATATCCGTATCAGAGAACCACATTGCAACCCCGTAGTGAAACAATAATACAAGTAGCTACGAATAAAAATATGATAGGTTTCATTCAGGCAGAAGAAGCCGCACCAGGAGTATTTATAGGAAGCTGCATAGCTCACCGGTCAACGTACGGCCTTACCGCCTGCCGGAGAAGCATAAAGAAGAAGTAAATCGACAAGTCCGAGAAATGGTAAAAAATGAAATAATCAGATCAAGCATGAGCCAATGGAACGCACCGTTATTGTAGTCCCTAAGAAAGCCGATGCGTCAGGAAAACCGAAATTACGGGTAGTC